AACAAAAACAGGATTGTGGGAGACCACTCATCTAACCATAATACAACCACTGCACAGACTCCCCGTCAAATACTGAAGATTGCTGAAGAAACACATTTTCACAGACTTCCAAAAGGCTAACAAGGAAAAGGATTGGCCAGTGAAGTTGCTCCCTTTACTCAAGCTTTCCAGTAATTAAAGCCTGGGCTGCAAAACTCCCCATGATTTCTAAAGCAGAAACGGTTACTTCTCGTGTCTCTTAATAGCCATCAGGATTTATACAACTCAGATTTGGGTGCTCTAACTTAACATTTTGATGTATAATAATAGCACATAGATTATATACCGCTTTATAGTGCTTTACAGCCCTCTCTAAACAGTTTACAGAGTCAGCATATTGCCCCCAACAATCTGGGTCCTCATTTTACCCACCTCGGAAGGATGGAAGGCTGAGTCAACCTTGAGCCTGGTGAGATTTGAACTGCAGGCAGCCGGGAGTCAGCAGAAGTAGCCTGCAGTACTGCACTCTAACCACTATGCCACCACAGCTCATATGCCACTCGCTGTAAAAACATCTCTTTGTGGCTAAATCTTTGTAACTCAGGCTTTCTGGACGCTCCATCACTGGAGGTTTTTAAGAAGTTATTGGACAACCATCTGTCTGAAGTAGTATAGGGTCTCCTGCTTGAGTAGGGAATTGGACTAGAACATCTCCAAAGTCCTTTCCAACTCTGTTATTCTGTTATTCTTTTCAGGGATTTTGTATGATACTTCAGTTTGCTTTAATTCTTGGATTACGAGATTAAGAAACTCCCTGGATGGTGTGTACAATTGTGCATTTGGGCTGCAAAACTCCAACATGCAGCTAGATGGAGGCAAAGGGATACATTTAGATTTTTGCTATCATATAGTGACTTTCTGGAGATTTGCAGCCTTGATATGGCAACACTAGGGATGGTCCTATCATTATGTCCACGATTATTGTGGGGATAAAGTTGGAGAGGAATATCATGTGTTCATAGAAAGAAATGAGAATGTCAAAAGTGTATTTATGGGAAGCTATTTTCTCTGTGGAATAGGCAGGTAATCTGACCATTATTATGAGAACTTTGTCAAGATGTCTTGCCTTTTCAATACTTTCAACAGGAAAAGGAAAACATAAATCTGACACAATTTTGCATTACAAAGTGGACAATTAGAACAGCTTTCTTACAATCATTTGCTTTTAATTACCCGGAATTGATTGTGTTCTTTGATAACATGAGGAGAGGAGAGATCTTGGGGCCAGTAGATGGATATGAGCAAAACTTGCATATTATTTTTCTTTGCTTCATTTCATTTGATAAATTGTCCCAAAATACAGTTCTCAAAATCATCTATAGTCCCATCAAGCAGAACTTCATTTTGGTAAGAGGTTGATGCAATTGCAGGATGTCTTTGAACAACAAAAAGATTTAGATTTAGAGAATCCCTTTCTTCCTAGGTATGGAAAGTCAAGAACATTGAATCAACTAAAGAATCCTGTAGGGTTCTTAAAAGAAAATAATTGGTAATAGCAGCGCTAGATTACACAAACTGGTCCTATGAGGAATGCCCAACGCTCAAACTAAATTGAAATGTTTGCTATCAAAGATGATTGTATATATATTTCCAATGTTTAAAACTGATTTGGATGCTTTTTTGTAGTATGCCATGAGATACAGCAAGGAAGGAAAGACCAAAAGTTTCAGAGCCTTAAAATGTAGCTGAATTTGCCAATATGCAACAGCATGGGAGAAACAGGCTAAATCACACAATTCATTTGCAAGCAGAAGAGCCAGAAAAAGCATTCTAATGATACTGCCAGTGAGTTATGAATGATACTGGCTCTTCTGCTTGCAAATGAATATATATATATATATATATATGTGTGTGTGTGTGTGTGTATAGTTAATATTTCGGGTTTCTTCCCGTGTAATTGTGGATATATCCCTAAAAGGGTAGAAGCGACGTTTCAGCAGAATCCCATCTGCCATCATCAGGCTTATGCCAGTAGTCATTTTGCACTAACTGACGTTGAAATATATATATATTTCTGGCTCGTTAGCCATCATCAGTAAGCCACACCCACATCTCATGTATCCTCCCTGTAAAGGTACAATATCTATTTTCTTACTTCTTTGTAGGATTTATGTGTGTATTATGTATATTTCTGGCTAACGAGCCAGAAATAGATCTATATAAGTCTCTCACCTGGCAGCAAGAACTTGCTGGCTGCCAGAAAGAAAAAAGCCCAGAATCGAGTGGATATGATTCCACTGAGCTAGGGCTGCAGAAAAACCTTGGTTACATAGGAAAAACCTGGCTAGAGGAAAAACACACATAAATCCTACGAAGAAGTAAGAAAATAGATATTGTACCTTTACAGGGAGGATAAAATGAGATGTGGGTGTGGCTTACTGATGATGGCTAACGAACCAGAAATAGATCTATATAAGTCTCTCACCTGGCAGCAAGAACTTGCTGGCTGCCAGAAAGAAAAAAGCCCAAAATCGAGTGAATGTGATTCCACTGAGCTAGGGCTGCAGAAAAACCTTGGTTACGTAGGAAAAACCTGGCTAGAGGGGAAAAAAAACCATATATATAGTCTCATTCGTCATCTTCAGGTTGGTGTTCTCGGCTTCGTGCAACTGCCGAGATCAACATTTAATCCCCACAGGCTTCCAACTGAAATTCCACTCCAACTCTGCAGCCACCAAACGCATTCTGAAAAGAACAGAACTAGCCCTAATCAGAAATGAACTCCACAGAAAAAGATTCCTCCTAGACCGAATCAACAAGGATCTCCTCACACTTCACCTCAAACTCAGCAACAAGATCCACCCCGCACTTTGGGACAAATCCAAACAACTTGCCATCTGGAGAGCCGAAACACAGACCACCCTCAAGACAGACACACACACCAACAAACTCCGAAGACTACAAGAACGCCAGAAACAATCCCCTCCACCCTCACAGCCACACATGAAACAAACAGTGCATAACATCTCAGATAGGATCCTCACCAAAGCCGAAATCAATGTCCTTTCCAAAGGATTCAGCTTTGCAATCACTCCCAAAAGCATCCCCACTGAAACCATTATATGCGGAGTTGAAACCAGCCTGACCAAAATCAACCCCGACGACGCAAACAGAATCAGACTCGAAATCACCAACATCCTCTGCACCAGCAAGCCACCCAAAAGTAACTTACCCAAAGAGGAACAGACAGCACTACTTAACCTGAAAGAAGACACCAGCATAATAATCCTACCAGCAGACAAGGGCAATGCCACGGTGGTTATGAACACATCTGACTACCAAACCAAATTAACCAACCTACTCCAAGACTCCATATACAAACCCCTAAACACAGACCCCACCACCTACCTGGAAAAAACCACTAGATCCAAAATAAAAGCCTCCCCCATCAGCGAAGAGATTCAGCAAAGAATCATTCCCAGAGAGAAATCACCCAGATGCCCTAAGCTTTATGGTCTCCCCAAGATACACAAAGAAGGAACCCCACTTAGACCCATAGTCAGCTCCATAGGCTCACCTCTACAAAACCTAGCCAAATTTCTCGCCAAACAACTACAGCCCTATGCAGAATCCATCACCTCATACGTAAAAAACTCATTCCAGTTCATAGACATCATAAGGCAACAAAACATACAGCCCAGTGACCTACTCGTGAGCTTCGATGTCATATCCCTCTTCACCCAAGTACCAATCAAAGAAGCCTTGACAGTTATCCAAAACAAATACAAGCACATCTTAGATCTGACCAACCACTGCCTATCCAACACATACTTCATCTATAATGGACAGAAATACAAACAAATAGAAGGAGCACCCATGGGATCTCCCCTCTCACCTGTCATTGCCAACCTCTATATGGAATACTTTGAAACCCAAGCTCTAGAAAAATCTGATCACAAACCCAAACTCTGGCTCAGATATGTAGACGACACCTTCATAATCTGGCCACATGGGAAAGAAAAACTGAACAACTTCCTCACACACCTCAACAGCCTACACCCCAAAATACAGTTCACCATGGAAACAGAAGCGAACAACCAACTTCCCTTCCTGGATGTCTTAGTCTACAGAAAATCCAATGGCTCCCTAGGACACACTATCTACCAGAAGAAAACACACACAAACCGCTATCTGCAGGAGTTCAGGTTATTATCCTTCATTCCACTCATATTTTATTTGTATTTATTATACCCATTTTGAGAAAGTGGACTCCATAGTGATTCTGAGCCAACTCCTAGAAGACATTCTTCCCAAGTCCTATGACACTGCTTAATTGACAAGATCTTGAGTGTGCCATTCTTGCTGACCTGACCAGATAGGTGAAAACATAGATGGTCCTTCAAATATAACTAGGCCGTATGCAAAGCAGGGCTTTATAAGTAATAACCAGCACCTTGAAATGTCCTCAGAAGCCAAATGGCAACCAGGGAACATGTGCACAGAATGCAACATGTCCATCACTGTCAGCATCACTGCCTTCTGGACCAGATGACTGGTCTTCAAAGGCAGCCCTACATCAGGTGCTTTGCAGTAATTCAGATGTGAGATGACCAAGGTATCATGGCTCCTAACTGGTGAAGTATTCTGGGGAAAGAGTGAATCTCTGGCCCAAAGTCATCTAGACAACTTCACAGATGAACAAAGATCTGTCTAGTCCAATTATTTAGCCATTGCACCACACTGCCTCTAAACAGTTATCCGTTCTATTAATTCCGGAATCAAAAGCATGTTTGACCATCATATAATCACAAGTAATATTTATTTTGGATTAACAAATTTACAGTTAATGACAAACCTAGGACTGCTTTTTTATGCAGATCATCATGAGTACCTGTTCTTTATTTAATTTTTGCACATCAAATTTAGAAACTGCCAATTTCACTCACAAAGCAATTCTAGGCAGTGCACAGTTAAAAATGTAAAAACCATATAAATATTAGAAGGCAGTTAGTACAAGATAGAATAAAGTAAGAAGGGGGTGGGTGGGTAGCTCTTCAAGCCCCTAACAAATTTCGAGGTTGCATGTTGTATGCGCACCCCAAGCAAGTTGGCAGATCCAGGTCTTCAGGTACTTGATACTTTATCAAGGTTACTGAGACAGCCAGCACTCTGAGGGTTGGACTACAGCTCCCATCATCCATATCCATCTACACTGTTTGACTGTTTGATGGGAGTTGTAGTTCAACATTCGGGTGAGCACTTAGCTGAGGAAGATGAACATAAACTCTGTATGTTCATTTTTTTAAAAAAACCAAAATGTGAAGACTCACATACTGGGTTAAAAATAAAAATTTGGTTCTTTAGGAATCAAAAAAAACATGCTAAATGTGTAAGACACTGCATCAAATAAACTTCTCCAAAGAATTATACTTCTTCTATTTTTGATCTGGCACCCCATATTTGACATCAGCTGTTGATAGTCTGTGACTTCTGCAAAGCGTTTCTTAGTTTATCCAGTGCTCTGTGGAGGGCAGCTTTCATGTCTGCATTCCTTAGGCTATATATGAAGGGGTTGAGCATGGGGGTCACCACAGTGTACATAACAATAGCCACCTTGTCCTTGTCCCCAGAATAGGAAGAGTGTGGCCAGAAATAGACCCCAATTGCAGAACTATAGAAGAGGGTCACAGCAATTAGGTGAGAAACACAGGTTTGGAAGGCTTTGCTCCGACCTTGGCCAGAAGGAACCCGAAGCACAACTTGGACAATGCGAATGTAGGAGACAAGAATGAGAATGAAGTTGCCAATAATAATTGTTCCTCCTTCAAAGAAACTCAACATTTCACTGAGGCTCTTATTAGAGCAGGCCATCACCACTAAAGGCTGGAAGTCACAGAAGAAATGAGGTATCTCATGATGATCACAGAAGGAAAGCCTGGACATCAATACAGTATGCAAGAGGGCATGAAGGTGGGCCAGCAACCATGCCACAAATACCATGATATGACACTGCAGTGGTTTCATCAGCACAGGATAGCGTAATGGCAGGCAGATGGCCATAAAGCGATCCAGTGCCATGGCGCCCAGCAGGAAGTTTTCAGTGATAGCAAAGGCCAGAAAGAAATACATCTGGATCATGCAGTTAGTGAAAGCAATGTTCTTGCAGCCTGTGCGGAGATTGTGCAGCATCTTGGGAATTGTAGTTGAGGTGAAGCAGACGTCCACAAAGGAGAGGTGACTGAGAAAGAAATACATAGGTGCATGGAGGAGCCGGGCATCAGAACGGATCAAAAAGATGATCAGCAGGTTCCCAGTCATGTTCAGCAGATACAGAACGAGGAAGGTAACAAAAAGGAAGCGCTCCTGTTCTGGCCGAGTGGACAAGCCAAGGAGGAGAAAGTCAGGGTGGCTGGTGTTGTAATTTTCACGATCCATGGATCTGAGCGTGGACAGAAAAAATTAATTGAATGCCAGGAGAAGCAAGACTACCGGTGCATTAACCTTCTCCAGGTCTCCTTTTGGCATCAGTGACCATCATTTTTCTGGTGAACTTTCTGTTCTGTTTTACATTCCAACTAAGATATATCCAATGTATAGCACAATAGCAACCATAGGCAAACAGGCATGGGCTGCAAAAATCCAGAAGGCCATCTGATGGCAAAAAGAAATACAGAAAACTGTAAGTCTTTGCTATTATTTAGTGATTATCCAGTTTTGTAGCCCAGATTTGTTAATCCTAAAGAAAACACTGTGAATATGTAACACATCAGAGTTGTTATGTACAACATTCGGAATGGGATGGGATGGAATATTTATTGATCTAGTTGTTTGATTATGGCATATCAGAAATATAAAACTAATACATATATACAAGTAGATACAAAGAACATGTTAGTAGTAATTCATCACTCTTACAGTTACATTCTAATCTAAATATTGTGTTCTCTTTGAAATGGCCTTTGAAATAAAGAGTGCAATCCTACTAGTGATATACAGGTTCATTCCCAGTGAATAAGTAAGACAATTCCTCCTGAATTGCAAATTAATTCAGATATTAACTGTCTTACGTAGCTATCCTATCCATCCACTTTGATATAATAATCTGTTCCTACGCTGTGATTTATGTGGTCCTGATTTTTCTATTGTTTTTTTTTCCCTCAACCCATACATATATCAATGAACAATAGTTTACAAAGGTAATGTTAAAAATCTATGCAGGTGTTATAAAATCAAAATATTAATATATCTAGCCATTTACACAATCACTTTTACAGCTCTTCTCATTTAGCTAGTTATCTGTATATATTAAAGAATTCCACCTATCGACTGATGGATATCCAAATACTGCAGGTGGTTATCCTAACTTTTTCTGATTCTAATTACTCTTGCCTAATTATCACAGCCCTGGAAAAGGGCAACCAAGGCTTCAATTCTATATATCAGGACTCTATATGCCTTCTAGATGTTTGATCTGTAATTGTTATCAGTTCCAGACAGTAGTACCAATGGTCAATAATTATGGAATTGCATTTGCCAATCTCTGGGAGAAATAATTTCTATTCAGGTCAGTAGGGCTTAGAATACCTTTCTACAAAATTTCACTATAATTTATTTATTTGTTTTATTCATTTGTCATGCATGTATAGGATAACAGATATAAGTATAAACATGATTATGAATACATGAAATGGATATGAATAAATGGGGACATTAGGACAGGGCCTGTAGGCACCTTAATGCGCTTATGCATGCCCCTTACAGTCCTCTTAGGAATGGGGTGAGGTCAACAGTAGACAGTCTAAGGTTAAAGTTGTGGGGGTTTGGGGAAGAAACCACAGAGTCAGGTAGTGCATTCTAGGCATTGACCACTCTGTTGCTGAAGTCGTATGCTGCACTCTTCTGAAACATGCACAAAATTGTTCTATTTTATGATCAAGAGCTGCTTTATCTGGAAGTTGAATTCTTTGCTCTTTTATTTTCAAAGATGTTAGGAAGGAACAAAGGATATGTATCCCTATTCTCATCTTTTTCAACTTTGCACAGAAAAAAGTATTTGGGAATGGATAAAAAAGTTTAAAGAGGAAAATGGCTGAATTGTGTTAAACAATCCATTTCCTTTGATATAGTTCTGCTCTGATCAGAGCTGCAGTTTTCTTTAAGGAAAAAAGAGAAAAGGGGCATTTTTGTGACTTAAAAACAATTTGGATCTTCAACAAGTTTATTGTCTTCTAATCATTCATGGATCCTTTTTTTTTGTGGATGTAGCTTATATGATAATAGACTAAAGCTTAAAGGATAATAGTTTTTCAGTCTTTACAGACTTTTGACTCATTGTGCTGTCCCAGATTAAAATAGCTCCTTTGGATTTTACAGTATATATATATTTAAAAACACACACACACAATTAGACAACAGTTGCAGTCATGATCTATGAAGGAAACTTCAGGGTTTTTTTTTTTTTTGAAAAACCCAAACAAATCCTTGGTTCTGAATGTTAGATGGGAGGGACAAAAACAAGTAATTAGGTCATAAAGACTTGTAGGTTTTTGATCAGCTGAAGTGCACAGTACATCAAATAGGAAGGGAATTTGGTGAGATAATGAGTATATTGATGAAACAGATTGGTTTGATAGCAAAATTTATGTAGATGAGGAAAGAAAGGGCTGAAGGAAAATGGGGGGAGTTAGGGTGATTTAAATGATTCAATCAAAGTGTAACCTGGTTAAATTTCTCATTGATTTAGCTTGTTGACTGTCAGCTGCTTTTACCTATTGTGAGGCTGAGATTTTATTACTTTCAGTTGGGTTTTATTGGTAATCTGAAGTTTTGGCTGACAGGCAGGGAAGGAAGGAAGGAAGGAAGGAAGGAAGGAAGGAAGGAAGGCAGGATCTGAATATCCTCTCTCCAATATAAGCATTCTTAAAATACAATTATCAGAAATATGTTCATATATTTACAAACAAGCATTTTAAAAAATTACTCATCCTCAGGACAATGAATCACCTAAGGTTAATGATGCAAAAAAAGAAAGAAAGAAAGAAAGAAAAATAGGGACAGGGAAATTTATAAGACCCCTCTTCCGATTATTTGAGAAACAAAGTGAAAAGATCCTACACTTTCTTTCTAATTTCCTATTTCATTTCCCTGGGATTCCTTGCTTACCAAGTCTTTGAGGTCTTGTGATTCTAGAGGAAGGGCATCCAAGAGGTTGCTGCCACTACTGTTACTTCCAGCTTGGTACCAAAGTCACACAATGTGTGGGAGCCTCCATAGAAAACAGTGAGTGTAAGAAGAATGATTATATGTAGGAGCTCATTATACAGGTAAAATTAAGGCAGAAGACAGAGGCATAGAACCCAACAGGCACTTTAGAAGGCATAGCATTTGGGGACTTGTTAACAAAATAAGTTACCCTGGGTGAAATCTTGCTTCTCTAGGTGCTACACATATTTCTCATTGGACTTTGGAGTGGACTCTCTATTCAATTACTTTCTTTACATAAAACTTTTCAAAAGATGAATGGCTTTGTTAGCATTAGTATGAGAGGCCAGTCCCCTAATCCAAACCCATTGAAGAGTATGCCATCTTTTCTTGTGAGGTTGAGTTTGTTAATAAAAGGTTTTCCTTCTTGACATTTTTGACCTGGACATTTTTTATGGCCAACAGTCAACACTTTTTTGGCTTTCTTATATTGCAGCTTTCATATCTAATGAGAGAAGCCAGGAGGTTACACTGCTATGATGGAATTGCTTGCTCAATTTTTTTTTTCTAATTTATATTCCATATTTTCTTTTCAGGAACAGGATAATTCTGGAGGCCATCCCTTATTGCAAAGAATTCATTCATGTCATCCCAATAATTCCCATGATGAGAAAGAATTAAGACATACATAATTTACAGAAGTTTTGGAGCAATGAGAAAAATCAATCCTCCCCCCCAAAAATAGAAATTATAGGGAAGATTGAAATTCATGCAAATACTAACTTTTCAATACCCTTTATCAATATGAAGACATTGTTACTTTTTAAAAAAAAGCATAGCTTGTTTTCTGTAAAAGTTTGACAGTTTTATAACTCACAAAAAGCATAAAGATGTGTTGTTATATATTTATCTACAGTATTTTGTGCTTTATTTTTATTTCATCTTTCCCATCTTTTTTTGTGTGCAACTTTTTTCTTTTCCGTTTCCTAACAATACTTAATAAAAGAAAAAGCATGTTGATATGAAAAATATATTTCTGAGGCAATAAGTAAGACTGTATTGATTTAATAGGTTTCAATGTTTTAAAATGTATATTATATGGGGTGGCAGGTTGTTAAGTTATTCATTTTTCCTTTTTAAGAGAAGCTGGCAGGCAAATTATGTATACTGAAAAAAAAAATCAACATTGGAATAAAATAATGAATTCTAAATTTGGTCTTCCATTGTATTAAACAGAAAGCATAATTTTAAAGGAAATGCTGAGAAAAGAGGATATATATATATATTAAGGAGTGTCACTTGAAGTTTTTTTTTAAAATTGCATTGTATAAATGGACAAGTGCGATGAATCAAGGTTTATTTTTTAATTACAAAATTTCTTTGAATTCAAAAAAATTATTTTTAACTTAATTATTAAATAAATAATTTAATAATAATAATTATTATTAGCACTGTTAAAAATAATTTCATGGACTTCAGTTAAGGGATCCATGAATTTAAAGGAGAGGAGGGCTCATCTTAAATCTCCTCCCTAAACTGGAAAAATTAACCATTTACCCTCCATGCTATGACTTTCTGGATATCTCCATTACTCACACATATATGCAAATACAGTTTTTTAAAACTATGATTTATTGAATAAACCACAACTTTCTGAGGTCACATTCTTAAGTTTAAAGGATGTTTTAAGAACAATGGATGGCACAAATGCTACACTACAAATAAACAAGCTACATGGTGACTTAGTTCACACATTGAGTAGCAACCATTTAATGATAGTTGGCTGAGTAAACTAAAAACAGATTGCATATAACTTAAACCATGTGTTACAAAGCACAGTCATGGGTTCATATACTAAGCTAAAAAGCAAATAGGCCTTATAATGGACTATAGTAGTTTGTGAATTAAATGTATGATTTAAGGTAACATGTACATCGAGACATAGATACAATTCAGCAAGATGGGAGCTATTTGGGATTCCTTTAACTCTTACCTATAAGAAAGAGCTGTGTGTGACACAAATCAAGTATGTGTGCCTATTGAAGGTTTTCTTACTGATTGTGTAGTGCAAACCACAAGTCATGCTCATTGCATTAAGTTTAATGGATTTTACTCAATGATGGTTTAGCATGTGAACTCAAGAACTGGTTGGCCAGTCCTGATGCATGCCTGAATGCATAATCCCAGTCATTCTGGGTTAGTCAACTAACCACAAGTCTTAAAAAAAACTACAGCTACAGCAATAGAGAACCCATCTTATAGAAATTCATTTAAAATCCAGTTTGGGGATGTCAGTTAGAAGGGATTAATTGAACTATCATTCCCTGGATGAATCTGTTTTAGCAAGGAAGCTTGAAAGAATGACCTTGTTTAATAGTTTAGAAACTTCTGAGAAGGATAATGAAAGGATTATTATTTATTTGATCTTCAAGCAGATGTGGTGGCTCTGTCGAGCAAGCCAACGACTTCTGAGGAAAATGTCTCTGCACTTTAATCCTTTCCCCCTCCCATCCTTTAGGATCTTTGTCCCTTTCATTCAGTGCACTGGAAGATAATTTACTCACCTCACTTGCAATCAATTAGCAATGGCCCTTGCTGGCCTTTGATTGGTAGATACACTGAGCCAGGCAGATATGAAGGCCAACTGGGACAAGAATACCTATTCTTTTTTTTTCTTTTCCACCTCTCCTCAGGACTCGCCTTGTGGCAGATTTTTTGGTGGTAAGTATTTTTATGAGGGTTGTTTTTTCTTTCTTTCCTTGACTCCATGTTTCATGGTAAACCAGGTTTTAGCTTAGTCTGGAAT